AGGTATGGGTGAAGTGAGAGTGTGAAGTTGTGTTTAATGATACTTTTCAAGTGTCCAAAAAATTGATATACTTTTATTTTTACTTTTTTATATATAAGCCATTCACCTCATTGTGGTAATTTTAGTTGTCATTTGTGAAGAGAAAAATTTTACTTGTCATTTTATTACAAACAAATTTACGAGTGTGAACATATAATTTGTCAAATTCCTTTTATTTTCTTTTATCGAATATTTTGGTCTTTGAGACTTCACATTTCTTATGGTGAAAAGCGAGTGCAAAGTAGGGACTGTTCGTGTTAGAGACATTTTTGGGCAAGACTACCGTATACGACAACTCTCTTATACTCATAGGGTTGGGACTAAGTAGGGTTGAATGTGACCAAAGTGCAAGGGCCCTACGCTTTTAGTGACTACAATTGCGCACAACCCATGTGATCAGGCAGCCCTACCCAAGATTTTATCCTTGTGTGAGTTTCAACTTTTTAACTTATTGAGCCACATCTCTAGACATTCATCTATTTACCCTGTATTGATAAGTTCTATATTCAATTTACTAACCCTGTATTGATAAGTTTGTTGAAATTGAGAAAGTTCTATCTGCTCAATCTCTTTACCTAAATTTTGTTTTTGTTTTCTGTACTACTTATTTAATAAATTTAAAATAGGCTATGATAAACCTAAAAAAATTCGAAACTATGAATAATTTTTTTTGACGAACATGACCAAGAATTATTGTTAGTTTGATGACACAAAAAAGGTTGTGGAAAACCCATGCCAGTAGTAGGAGATTAACAATCCCCATAAAATCGTTTATTGTTTTCATTTCTACTAGAGGTGCAAGTTGGATTGAAAATTTCAATTCCGGCCGATTCCAATTCGAAATTTTCTAATTTTTGCAATTCTAAATCAAATATGACATTAAAAAAAAGTTTTGAAATTCAAATATTCTGAAAAAATTGGATTGGAATTGGAACACAGCTCAAGACTTTGAAAATTCAGAATTCCAAAATATATTGCGGTTTCAATTTTGAGCCGATCTTAACGTTTCATGCTTGAAGCATGTTTAAAATTTGAATTATATTCCGAAGTTTTTCAAAAAAAATTCTGAAATATATAAGTTTCGTAGTTTTCCAAATATTTCTAAAATTTAGAGTTTTTGGGAATCGGAATGGATGTTGAAATTCCCAAATTCTTTGAAACAGAAAATTAGTTCGTTTTAGGGCTTGATGTTGACAAGCCATAAATCTAGAGATTCATTTCGGACAATTAAACGTTTCATAGACGGTTTGTTTTTAAGAACCAAAAAGAATAACTAAAAATATTAATGAAAGCAACGAGACCTCGCAGGAGTGTAATAATCGCGCAAGAAGGCAAAGACGTTGGGATTTTCGACTTCAACAACAAATATCATGAAGGTGGAGGGGAGGTGGTGTTGAGATGAGCATCAAGCATGCAAGGAAGGGTTGAGACTACAACAAGTCCAGCAAGGAAGGGTTGATGACAATAGAATTCGTTCAAACAAAGGCGTGCGTGTTGGGATTGGCAAATTTGGCAACAAGTACTACAACAAGTCCAGCGCATCATTTCCACACATTTGCTTGAACTAAAATTCCAAAAAATTTAATGGGCTCACATTAC